CAAAAACTTGATGGAGCTTCGTTATAGCAACTTCATCATCATTTGTGAATTTATGATCGGTCATCTTAATGCAGTAGAGGACCAAACTGATCTCACTACACTCATTCTTCATTTCTTGAATGTATTTATGCTCTTTGTTTTGAGTATCTTGCAGACCAGGAGAATCGATTATTGTGACATTGACATCAGGAATGATGTTTGGGTAGGTGTAAGACTGTGATTTCATGGTACAGCGTGCACTTCGTGGTCCTTCTGGTACAATTTTTCTTCCCAGCTCAATGAGACTATTGATCAGTGCAGACTTTCCTTGACCTGTTCTTCCAATGACTAGTATGTTAACATCTGTTGAAATATATTTTTCTTGGAGGAGCTTTTTGAAAGTTTTCATTGAGTCTGTGTCTGTTACAAGAAGCAAATAATTTGAGCATTGTATACCAATTAAGCATTACCTATCTTTGAGACATCAATTTTGTTTTTGGTAGAACTTGATGGATTACTTGCATCTATTTGTGAAAAATAAAGGCATCATATTGAACTAGAGCTACTTGTTATAATAATCATAACTATGATTATTTAAAATTTATTTCACATAACACTCACTATTATTCAGTCATACTACTGGTTAATACTGGTTAATTTTAAATTAACCAGTATCAATCATAAATACTGGTTAATTTTAAATTAATACTTTTTGTACTATGAACATAACCTATTCTATGAGCTCCTGATTATACCGTATGGCGCAAAATTTTCTAGGGCTGTAAATTTCACGAGTTTGCCTAAAAATTTATTTTGCAGATGTAATTTTAGCAAATTTATGCCATCTACCATCTTTTACCCTAATAATTTTGATTTTTGCAGAAATATTTTTTGCAAATCAAAAATTTTGTGCTATACAAGTCACACCTACAGCCATAATAGAGGACCTAAATTAAATTATATTTTAATGAGTTTGCTTAGTTTCCTGAAACTGCTATTCTGCCAATTTTTCATTCATGTTTGTTGAGAGGCTATTTCATTTTGCATTGAATATGCTTAGAAGATAATAGTAGATATTGCTTTTGTTATGATACTAGATGAAGTTTACATGTACATTGCCTAACTCTGGCTATTATTGATACAGTATATGAGAGCATATACACAGATAATTTTGATTTAGTATGGTATCTGTCATTCATTCTGTCCAGAAGCAAATCTCTTTTTGAGGTTTTGTGGTTTGAGAACGGGGTCCCCTACACACTGAGAACTTCTCCATGAACTTGAAAAAGTTACTTTCTCTAGCTTTATTAAGTATAGATGGCAGTGCAAGGCACCAAGAGCTAATAATTTTGCCAAATGTAGTAGGTTCTCCAATCATTGTGGCATTTTTTCAGTAACAGGGCTTTCTGGTATCTCTAGAGAGACACTAAAACCTTTTCTTTAAAAAATATGTAGCGTTTTTTGTAACTTTCTTTGTCTTTAAGAAAAGAATGTCTAAAAATCCCTTACCTCTTGAATTTACATGAGGCACTTGTCCTTAGGAAGAGCAGTTTAGGCCTATAAACTTCAGATGCTTGACAAGAGTTTGTATGCAACAAATAGAGCCTACGAATAAATGTGTGTTTGGACTGAGTAGAAGTCCAAGAAATTCAAGCTTCTTCCAGCAGTTAGTCCAAGAGACACCATTTTACTCTAGCAATCAAGATTTGACACTTTGACTGGACTGTGACAACTCTAGCAATCAACCCTGGCTGAGCTGCTCAGTTTGCAGCAACACCCAAGAACCCTCACATCTAAATTATACTATATAAAACTAATTAAATTAATTAAACTAATTAAATTAGTTTTGTTTTGGCAAGGCCAATGCACCAACGGTGTCTTGTTAAGTAATGAAACTGAAAAATTTTATTAAGCAGTTGTGCCAAATAAGTAACAATAACAGTAAATAAATATTATTTATTTAACATGTACATTGTAATTACTATTGTTTTTATTGATATCCCGTTTAGTGTTTTTCTTGTATGAATCTCTGTTTTTGTTGTTTATATAGCAAGTGATAACTGTAGATATTATATGTTCCCGTCATAGTTCTTATTAATATCCCGTTCGCCCTGAAATGCACGCATAAAATATATACAAAATATATACAATAGGCCCTGCAAATCACCCAAAAGGGGCAAAAAGAGGGAAGGGTTGGTAATATTGTATGGGCCACACCCCCTAAGCTTGTGGTTGCAAATGGTGGTCAAACTGAACCCAAGGCTTACACACTAGTTCAACGATGTGAAGCTAGTGGCCAGTTCATGAAGCAAGCTGGCCCACCCTGGCTGCAATGTATGCCTGGCATGCACCTAAACAAATGCCGCCAAAATCTAACTCTTACCAGCTGAACCAACTAAGGGGTTCAACTCAGGGTGGGCCATATTTGCCATGAGCAACTGAATACTCTCTGCATGAGAGCGCCAATAGTTAAGCTGCGTTAACTATTCCACTTGGGTCAGGCAATTACCCACCATGCCTTAGCATTATGTGTAATCATTAATGCTGCTTATGCCTCATGCTTAAGGTTTACAATAGAGAGGGAGGCATATTGATTATAGCCTTGCAAGCAGGCTGATTTAGAGGTAATTATAATGAATTAGGGGGAGTGTGGGTCAAAGACCCTACCCCAAATGCGCTAGCAACACTCCCCAAACAGATTCATACCCTCACTATTAAATAAATAGTACAATAAAAGAAATTCCCAAAACTTAGCAGCACAATGGCCATGATACCCAACAAAGAAACCAGATAGACATGAGAGAAATTGTTACAGGACAAAAAAAGGCTAGCCACACTGCACAACTGATCCTTGGGTATTCTATAAGACAAGAAAACTGAGGACTGCCACCATCCCATTGCTTGAATGAGGAAATCACTCAGCTCCGCTTGAGCTGCTGCCGTTGCTGCACCAATGTCAAAAACTATGTCCCTTGTATAAGGGGAAGCATCAACTCCAATAGACTGCAGGGCTTTTTCCAGCTCAAACATCAAATGCTATCTTAAGACTGAGAGTGTGTCACCATTTCTGAATACGATAAAAAAGGGGGGGGGCATTGGTTGAAAGGACATATTGCTAAATAGGTCAGAACTGTCAATACTGCTTATGGCAATTTTCGCCCCATGAGCAAATGGGTCATTCTTGCTTCTTTTTAGGTGCACCCTCGCTTAAGTGGTACAGATAGAGGTGAGAATCCCCAGCAATGTCTCCTGTTGCAAGCATTAGTGACTCATCAAATTAATCTATAACTGGACAGGTGAACTCCCTTGCTTGGAGAAATGTAAAAAAGCCTAAGCAGACTGTCACCCACAGAATGATTCTATCAAATAACACCCCTTCCTCTGACCATTTGGAGTATATAGCAGATCATATTATAGGGGCTATTGGGAGCCAAACCTGCCTAGATCCTTGGCTTGAACGCCGCAAGCCTTTTAAAACATATGCCAAATGCACAGACAGAGAAATAAAGGGGTCGGGCAGACCTGATAAAACCAGCATGCACTGAGGTATACACAGAAACTGATTGGAAGGACAGCGAGCGTTGAGCTAGGAAAGCTACATAGCGGCAATAATTCTGCTCACCAGAGGAAGGGGTTGCAGCTGAAACACATCACATGCAGAGGCTGATGTAACAACTCCAACCAATTAGATATCCTGATGTTGTAGAAGGGGCAATGCCTCTCCCAAGCCTTGAACATGCCTGTCCAAGCTGCTAAGCCCAAATCTGGTATCTCCCCCGCAAGCCAGTGGATCTGTGGAATGATTGACTTTGAGATGCCTGCATGATGAAAGAATGAACGAAATGCGTTTCATTTTGAGACAGTGCCTCCACCGCCTTGTTTAACTGCCCTGGGCTGAGAATGGAATTTAAGTGAAAGCTCCAGAGCTGCAATACTCCTATAAGCATGATCCTTTGGCCAGGCCAGCCTAAACTACAAGGTACCTCGAAACCCCTGCAATCAACAAAACTTGCTGCATTTGTATACACATGCACTGATGGAATAGCATGAGGGGAAAAACCGGCCATTCCGTTCCTTCAAGAAATAAGATATTAGCCTTAGCACTCCTAGTGACCAAGATAAAGTAATGAGGGAGCTTAGCCATAGACAGCAGCTGAAACAAGTCGTGCAAAATGGGCAACCCTGCTGACTCATTATAGCCGCGCAGCAAGTGGCCCAAATGACTAGCTCTCGTCTACAACATGCTGATCCGTGAGCTCAGGCCTGTACCATTACTTGCAGCTTATCATCAGGCAGTCGCAAATCCTGCTTGGCTGAATCGTCACAATTCCCACAAAAACCACATAAGTTGAGGGGCCTTCAGTCTTATGCATTGCAAATGGTATCCCAAGAAAACTGCATAACAACATCACTTCAAACTGGCCACTAAAACGCCTGCCGTGCTAGGGGACTCAAAAAACAAAGTCATCTAAGTAGTGCACATGAGAGACTAAGCCAAAGCTGGCAAAGATCCAGACCAACATATCTGAAATAGCTGAGAATATTTTTGGTGCTGAGCGCAAACCAAAGAAAAAAGCAAACATCTGTGCACTTAAGTAGGCCCCTCCCACACAATTCCTAATCTGTGGTGGTTGGCTGGATGGACTGGAACAGTACTGTAAGCATACTGAAGATCAAACTTTGTCAGGCTTGTTCTGGGATCTAAGCTGTGAATGATTGCCGCTGCATTATCCACCAATGCATAACGTACTGATGATAAGTTGGGCTTATCCCATTATTGACGCTACCAACAGCTGGTTTGAAAGGTCAACAATCATGCACTACTTGTTAGGTTAGGAATCAAACCGGTGGGACTAGGGCAGATCCCTTCCAGCCTTATGGGTACTAAACTACCTAACAGAATCTTCCTATAAATAAACTTGGAGACCACATCCCTGTTACAA